AGAGCCAACGACGTTATTGGTAGAGGCATGGTGACGCAAAGTATATAGAGAGCGTACAAGAACATTATTTTATTTTTTACTTTAGTTATTAGTTTCTTGAAATGGTTCATTTACATATTGTAATTTTTATGTAGGGAGGTTAGTCCAGATGTCTCCTTCCTATACATAATAACACGATTTTAGCTTCTTCAAAAAAAAAAAAAAAAAACTTGGAACAACAAGGTTAATTTCACCTATGGCTTTGAACAATTTGACGTTTAGCACTCAGAGTCCTAAAACTTTCAAAAATTTGTGCTCGAGCTCTTTTGTAATAGAAAATGTCAATTTGACACTTAAAATGTCGAATTTTTAATAAAATGACCGTTCTACCCTTATTTTGATTAAAAATAAAGAAAATAAAAAAGAAAAGAGAAGAAAAAATATAAAAGGATGGAAAGAATAAACTTTGTATTTTTAATGAATAAACTTTATAGTTTTATACATTTTCTATCATTAAATATTTGAATTTGTGTTTGAATTAATGATGATGGTGACGATGATGACAGATAATGGTGGTAATTTGGCGAGCGGAATGAGGGGATTTGGTTAGTGGAATGAGGGGAGGGGTGTGGATTGACCCTCGGTTTTCTTTTTCTTTTCATTTTATAACCTTGTTTGAGCTCCATTTTAATGAGGTTTTAGGTAAACGTATTTTGGAATAATATTTTATTTAGAAAACGGGCGATTAAAAAAGAATAATTTTTTTTTTTGAATTTACGTGTAATATTATTTTATAAATAACACTACTTTACATAATGAAATTATACAATAATTTACATATATATGTGTGAAGAAGAGAGTGAGATTTTTTTTTAAAATTTCAACCTAATCATATCTCACGATTCTCACCGCATCGTGTATATGCGAACCATTATATACATATAGTACAATTGTTATTTTGTTGAATAATGTGTGGTTAAAAAAAAAAATGCATTAAAATTAAAGACGAGCAGAGTGACGTACTCTTTATTCTTTAATTTTGTTCACTTATTTTAATTCGCATTATTTTTACTTGTCTGTTTTAAATAAAACTAAGGTACAATGGTCATTTCACTCAATAATTGATCTTTTAGTGGACAGGCTTGCCTTTTTCCGTTACAGAAGGACCTCATTTGCAAACATTGGAAAGCTTTGACTTTGAATGTCAGGAATCAATTGTTGAGGACGTCAGCATCAAAATATTCAAAGTTAGGGGCTTCAATGGTATTTACTCAAACTTTATAAGTGCCAAGATAAGTGACCAGCTAAAACGAATTGAAGTTTGGTGCCGTGGCACCGACACTAATAACTTGTTTTACATAGATTTTTAAGTGAAAAACGATTTTTTTGAAGAAATATCTGATTGAAAAATGGAAAAAATTGTATATCCCATAAAATGCACAGTTGAAAAGATAAGTGGTCAGGTAAAACGAATTAAAGTTTGGTGACGTGGCACCAACACTAATAACTTGTTTGACATAGATTTTTAAGTGAAAAATGATTTTTTTGAAGAAATATTTGATTGAAAAATGGAAAAAATTGCAGGTACCATAAAATGTATAGTTGAAAATTGTGATGAAAAATAAAATAAAACTTGTGCCAAACGAACCCTAGTGAAAAGTACTAAGTGAAAAATTCAATGACCATGTTGACACTAAAGTGGTAGAGTATGGCAGCCATGGGTGAAATAAACCCGGGATACCTCATGTAAAATGTTTGGGGACCAATGTACTATAGCACTAATAGATTTGGGGCCAATACTCAATTTTCACTCACGCACATCCTTATCCCTCGTTAAACCCTCCATTTCTAGGGAGGGAAAAATGCTTAAACCCTGTTACCCCTTCTCTCTCAGATAGCATGCAAGTCAAAATTTTTCCCACTGCGCACCAGTTTGCTTCCCGTATCCCCTCTCTCTATTTCACACACTACGAAATATGGCGCGCGTTAACTGGGAAATGCCCGTTTGCTCCCAGATCTTCTCCCAGAAACTCAAGTGCCGTTTTTTTGAGCCGCCATTTTTACTCTCCTACCAAGTAAAGGGGGTACCGAAAACCCGGGTTGGGGTTCGTAAATTTTCGATTCGTCCCGGGCGGGGACGACCGGGTTCAGGTTCGGGTTCGGGCCATGAGGTGGGGGTCGAGAAGAGCTTGATTGAGGATGAGGCGAAACTCAGTGATTGGGTCAGTAGGTTGAGTTTTAACTTGTTTAGGAAAAGTCAGGTGTATAGCGATAGTGATGTGGATGGGAATAATGGTGGTGAGAATGGAGGATATATGAGTAGAGAGGTAGGTGAGAAGAGGAGGAAAGAGAGTGCATTTGAAAATGATGATTTTGATTTTCCGACAGGGCGAGGTAGGGGCCGTGTTTTGGAGAAGCCAGTGTAGGAAAGTTGTTTCAATATTGGATACCGAATT